CCCCAAAACCCCAAAACCCCAAAACCCCATGAGGAAGTATAATAAAAATCCTAATAAATATTTTATTATAAAAATACAAATACAAATACCATAAATCGGTCTATTTTGTTAGTGTATTAAATCGTAAATGTCTTTAAAACAGGAAAAGAGTAAGATTATCAAGCTACTCGAAGAATTTCATTAAAGAATAAGCGTTTTTTGCTATTTGCTCATTGACACAAGCCACATTAAGCCTAACTTGTTTGCACTAATGATAATTATTGAAGTAGTGCAATCAAGTTTGATACCAATGGAAACGATTGCTAAATTCATATTTGATTAAGATGGCCAAATTTAAAGTTCAAATTAAGGGTCTACTTTAATCCCCTCGAGTTTTTAATTAGATTAGATGAATCTCAATATTTTTCATAGGCTAGACTAGCAAGATATTCTAATCACTACCTCAGACATTGTGAACATTATTATGGCTGCTACTCTAATTGTTGTCATTGCTTGTTTTGCAAAATTTCAAATGCTGATTTATAAAATGAGAAGTTAGGAAAGGGGACTTCTTAGTATTGTATCATTTTTGACTCTTATTATTGGTAAATTTCTAACAAATTACTTCATTTCCGTATAACTACTAACTTGCAGGTGCTACTTTGATACAGAAATATGCCAAACAAGCGTAGACTTAGTGCGATTTATCATAAATGTGTGTGGAATAGTACTAAGTATCTTATTTAATTACTTTCATTATCTCCATTAAAACATAATGTTTCCTCATGCAAAAGCACCTTGGGCCTTAACAGGGTACTATTACAGAATAATATAGACAATATATAACTTAATGACTATTGTGATTTATGTGTTTATTGATAGGATTGTTCAAGCTAGATTTCTTAATATCTAGTTCTACGTAATCCTAATCGTGTTATTCACAGTTTAATTTGCTTTGATTTACATAGACATCAATACTTAAGTCTACTTCAGCAATCTTATAAATGGGATAAATATAATCAAAGATACCTTTTTACTTTGTACAATATCATGCAGTATTTTGATTGAAATATTAGGGGAATAGTCTGACTATAGTTATATCGGTTTAGCCATGGCATTAACACTGTCGATAGTTATCTTTATACATTAAAATAGGACGAAATAGAGAGTTCAGAAATTAAGCTTTTTGAATTTATCCAAATTGAATACAAAGGAACAGCACAATTTGCTTTTGTAGATTCTATCATATTCTCAAGCTAGTATAGATTCATACAAATTTAATCATATAAGGAACTGTTTTTATAAGCACCTCTATCAATGTAAAGATAAAGATTGCCCAAGCCATAGTAACTACTATCAAAACCTTGAGAACTACGTCTACTTCTTTGAGCATGCTGGAGATAACTTAAACTATACAGATGAAGAGATTATTAGGGGCACAGCGATTGATCATCTTTATAAGTAAATGTTTGAGACAGTCTTCTATCATTTTAAGCATGAGAAAATTAGCACTGAGATGGAATTACTTGAAATATTTCTGAAGATAAGCAAGTACAATCATATAATCTCATCTTACTTTAGACTTGTGGAGATTAAAGATAGACTTACGTCTCGCATGGATAAATAAAAGTATGCCTTTTTATAGAACATGATTATCCAAAGCTATCTTGCAGTGGAGAAGAAGCATGATTTATATGATGCTGAAAAAACTCTTTAAATTGAATAAGACATGGTTTAATATAAGTTATCAATAATACAAACTACTTTACAGGTTTAAAGATTCTGGCTGAATTTATCCTCTAAGAACATTAGCTTAGAGGAACTTATGGACTAAGGTGACAAAATAGTTTAAAGCTATTTGATTTACTAATAAAGATATGAATAGTTAATAAGGTAACAACCAGATCTAGCTGAAGCTGTTCTTTACCACCTACAGTTTTGCTAAAATGTAATGAATTTTGAATAGGAATCATTGCATGCAAATATTCTATACAAGAAAATTCAGGAAAAGAGGAAAATAGTATTTCAAAATCTCTATAATAATTAAAAAAACTATGCAATTGTGATTGTAACTAACAAAAACGGAAAAAAGAATCAGGTTGTCATGGTTAACAAAATATTTGAAGATGCTGCAGGAGTTCAGGCACATCAAGTCATTGATAAAAACATAAATAATTTCATGCCTATCATGGTAGCTATTAATCATGACAGACTAATTGACCATTATCTAAAATCATATAATGGTTCTCCATATAATCGTGTTTATGAGAGAGTTTGGTTAAAGAAACCAGATGAATCAATTCTTCCTGTCAGAGCATAGTTAATAACGTGTGTTTCTTAAACTCACGGTCTACTTTTAGTCGTATTTGTTGAAATTGCTCCTCCGATAGAGTTCAAAAATATGTTATATCAAAGTACAACTCCATATTTCCTTATTTCAGATGAACATGGATTTATCTATAACTCGACTCCTAACTTTGTAGAAAAGTTCTTTAAAACCAAAGATAGTTTTATCTAGGACTATAGATTCAAGATAAGTGATATTTTTCCATTTATTAATAACTTTACTGATGAAGAGCTAGATACAAGCGTTGAAACTAGGATGAACAAATACTTTTTTAATACAATGATAGACCAATAAAAGTTCTTGGATATTAAACTGAAGGTGATAAACTATAATTTTAAGCTTGGAATCAAGGTGAAGGAGTTAATTTTTGTAGAATCTTTAAAGACGGTGATTAATTTCGATACTTTATCTAATTAATCAGCAAGCAATAATGAATTGAGTGATCAGTATAAGAATAATGCTGAACTTTATGAATCTAATGAGGGTACAAACTTTGAATATTCAGGGGGCTCACAAAGCTCGTAATCAAGCAATGATGTTTTGTTCAAAAGTTTAGTTTAGAAGAAGAATGAATTAGATATCAATCAATTGCCTACTACATTTCTTAATCTAAAGAGAGGAGTTTTCATATTCTTTTTCCTTATGATTTCTAATCTAATAGCTTTACTCACTGTAACTCTAGTATCTAATTTCTAATATATTAAAGATGAGGAAAGCATTAAAAATACTATGTATCTAAATAGGGAATTTTCAAACCTAAGGTTATCTTTCAGGTTGCTTATAATAATATCTTAGAGAGGAAATAACACTGCATTCTTGGATTATTAAGATATCATAAACCACCTAAATGACTTTTAATAATAAATATAAACATTCTAAAATAGACTTCAACAAGATGAGCATAGCAAAGGGACAGATCTTTATAAGTTTATAAATGACAGAGAACTCATATTAGAAGAACTACAATTAGATGGAAATTTTACCACCACATAAGTCACTTTAAATACAGGATTTTAGCAATTTATTAGCAAGATTGTGCCTATACTTTAGAAAAATGAAACATAACTAGTCCAAATTTTTAAGAATTTCTTTATAATGACCTAGATGCCAAATAAGACTTAAACAGAAAGAGATGCTTGGTTTGTGATTTAAAATGGTAATCACAATCTTTGGAATTACTTATAGCAACTATCAGATCTATATATCGAGATGGGCTAATCTTGAAAATCTAAGTACTAAAGCACACTTCTTATTATTTGTTGTGTTTGCATTAGTATTGCAGTGCTTTCAACTCTAATCTTTACTCCTACAACAAATAATATAGATAATGAGCAATTGAATGTAATTTTAAAGTGGAATGTTGTTAGTGAAAGTACAAAGAAAAAGATACTTGATAATATATAAAACTTCAATTAATGGATAGGATAGATAGATGCTGATAGAACAAAATTTAAAAATCTTTCACCCACAAAAGGCCAAATAGACTATAAAGAAAAAAATGACACAACAATGTAAAGAGTGTTCATTAATCCAGACTCTGGATTAATATCCTCTGATTCTTAGAGCTAAGTAATATTGAATTAATTTCCGTTCCAAAGAAAAAGTACAAATATTCTGACTCCATTTAAATTCTCAACATCGAGCATAATTGCTAAAATTTAATTGGATGAAAGTCTTAACAACTCAATGGTACCTCTTGAACAACATAATAGTCAAATAAACTATAACAATAATAGTATGAATGATTACTCTATCTCTGAATATTAAAATACACCTGATCTAAATCATACAAAGAGTTAAATATAAGAAACCATTGTCAATTTAGTTATAAGACGAGAGGATAAACAACTGCAAAGTAAAATACAATCATCTTTTATCTTAGAGGAATCGAAAGGCTCGTATTCAAGTAGTAGCTTATCAGGGCCTGTGGATTTAGACGTGGAATTAGACAAAAAACTTGGATATAGCAGGAAAAATTATGAAAAGCAGAGCGATTCTTAAGATGCTGGTCATTTTCATGCCAAGAAATAATTTAGTAAACGATAGATTAAGACTCTCTATAGAAAGATAAAGTTAAAGAGATTTGGGCTTATTCTTTTGTTTTTGTCAGTAGTGATAGGATTTTTTGTTGGTCAATACATACTAGGAGATCAGATACTAAGTGATTCAGGGCAATCACTTGAACTGAAGAGTACATTTTCAAAAAGGATTACTTGCATCACTACATCTTATAATTTTCTAATTGAGATTTTTGCCTAGAATAAATCAATGGAGATTGGCCTTTAAAAAGCTAAGTTATAAGCATTTATTCAAAAGGAGTGTGATGAAATAGAGAGGAAAATCTCTCGATATTACAGATCACCTCCAAATATAATAGAAGGAATGATTTCAAGGCTTGTGAATCTAAATACAGAAAATGTTTGCTTGTATTAATTCACATCCTTAGATAAAATCTAGAATTGCCAGACAAAAATTAATTCTCTAATGTCAAATGGGTTAAGAAATGCTATTTAGTAATTATACTATCATTAAACTTCTGAGATAATAAGCTATGAAAGCTAGAAAGGTCCGACAATAACTGCGAAATATCTGAATGAAAGATTATATAAGGTGCAAACTTGGAAATATTTAGACCTTATTTTTGATATCTTAATTCCTGTATGTACTTCTATAAGTAAAGACATTGATGAGCACATTATTGATTACATAAGGTCAAGTATGTAAAAATACTATGCCTTCTTTGGAGTATTCATTTCGTTCTTGATTATAACTTTAATCGTGGCTTTTAAAAACATTTTGATTGCATTGAAAAGAATAGTCCTGAGGTCTAGAATTTTAATAAAGATAATCCCTATAGAAGAGCTTAAAATCATTATGGAAAGAAAAAGTTAGAAAAACAAACAAAAGAGAAAATAATAGTGATTTACAAGAAAAAAATTGATAATTAATAACTCTTAATTTCATTGAAAATGCAAAAAACTGCATATTCAGTGCTCAGGGGTTTTGGGGTTTTGGGG